CCCTTTCCGACTCTGCCATTCACTTCTGCAACATAAATTTTCTTTGTCAGTCTTTCCTCATCCATTCTTTCCACATGACCAAACCACCGAAGCATTCCTTTCTTAATCCTGGTCACAACATCATCTTGCAAACCACACTCTTCTCTTATTACAAAATTTCTTACCCTGTCATTCAGATTCAGCCCTAACATACTCCTTAACGACCGCATTTCTACTGCGTTCATTCTACTCTCGTGCTTCTTCTGCCACACCCAACTTTCACTACCATATGTTAAAGTAGGGACCAACACAGCATTGTGAATTGCCATGCGTGCCTTTTTCGACACATTTTGACTTCACAATATAGTGTAGGGCCCCATTTACTCTATTTCCCGCATTCACTGGTCGTTCTATATTCTTATCATATCTCTCACCCCTGCTAAATACGCAGCCCAAATATACAAACTCGTCTATTTGCTCGATCAACTCCCCTTCTATTCTTATTTCACAAATCGTTTTACTTTCTTCTCTTTCAAAAACCATAACCTTCGTCTTACTTGCGTTCACTTTCATACCCCTTTCTTTTAATGATCTGTTCATTAATGTGACCATCATTTGCAACTCGGCCGCCGATGACGCAAGGATAACTTGATCATCGGCGTACAAAAGGCATTTGACGGTTAACTCACCCATTCTTAGTCCGCATTCTTCAACTTTCAAATTTTGCAAACAACTGTCCATAAATAGGTTGAACAGCTACGGGGAAGCCACACAGCCCTGTCTGACACCTTTATGGATGTCAAACCAGTCCGAGTAGACCCCGTTGATCCTAACACAAGCACTAGAGTCCCTATAAAGAGACTCCAATGCCTGTATCAAGCCTGCGCTCAACCCAAATGATTTCAGTGTTTGCCATAGCACATCCCTATCAACTCTGTCATAGGCCTTTTCAAAGTCCATGAACGCACAAAAAACCTTTTGGTTTTTGGCCAAAAACTTCTCCGCGATCATGCGCATGGAAAAGACTTGATCTGTACATCCCATTCCCTTTCTAAATCCCGCTTGCACATCCCAAATTTTTCCATCAGTTTCTTTCATGACCCTTTCAATCACTACTTTAGCATACAGTTTTCCCACAATGCTAAGAAGGCTGATGCCACGGTAGTTTTTACAGTCCTGCTGCAACCCTTTTCCTTTATATACTGGGACTATCACGGCTTTGCACCAGTCTACCGGTACCCGCTTCAGTTCCCAGCATAAATTAAATAAGGTGTGCAGCAGGCCTGCCACCACTTCCTCTCCAGCCCTTAGCATTTCGAGTGAAACTCTATCATATCCGGCAGCCTTACCTGCTTTCATGCTTTTCATTGCTTTCATTATTTCATCTATACTTATCTCGCTACCTCTTTCCTCTTCTTTCGGAGTTTCTACTTCATTTAATTCATACGTTGTCTCCTCATTCATAAACACGCTTTCAAAATATTCCTTCCATCTCTTTAAACTCAAAAGTTCATCATTCAGAATACAGCCATTCTCGTCTCTTATAGCATTCATCATAGGCTGTTTTGAATGTCCCCTGGCAGTTCTTACAAGTTTCTAGAACATTTTAATATTTGCCTGGAAATTATCCGATATTCTTCTATCATTATTTTCCGTTCTTTCTTGCTTTTTTCTCTCAACTACTTCTTTTACTCTCTTATTAAGATGTCTAAAGACTGCCTTTTTTCTTTCAATATCGTCATTCGTACCGCTAGAATTACCAGCCTTTGTTGCTAGTAAATCTAGCCATGCTCTCTTATTTGCTTCAACTTCCATACGTATCTCATCATCCCACCATAACGTATTATTTTTCCTTTCATTCTTTCTCTTACTAACACCACATACTTCGGTAGCTGCATCCACTAAACTTTTCTTTACATTTTGCCATACATTCTCCAAGTCTAACTCCTTCATACATAATTCATCCAAACCACTTATATTTTCTTTCAGTCTACATTTGAACTTGTTTTTCTCACCTTCATCTTGTAATCTTTCTGTTCTAATACGCTGTAACGCAGTGGTAGACACAGATGACCGATGGCGCCAACGCCTGAATAGACCATTAATTCGGCATAAAACCAAATAATGATCCGTTCCTACGTTAGAACCCCGGTAAACCCTTGTATCTACCACTGCGCCCCTCAATCTTTCATCCACAATTATGAAATCTATCATGCTTCTATCGTCACCTCTTTCCCAAGTATACATGTGAATCTTCTTGTGGCGAAAGCAAGTGTTCGTCACAAAAAGATTCTTTTCCATACATATGGTGAGGAGACTTTCACCATTCTCATTTATACTTTCATCACCAAACGTTCCCAATATCCTTTCATAACCAAGCCTCCTCACCCCAACCCTTCCATTAAAATCTCCTAGCATAATAATATTTTCATTTCCCTTACACTTCATTAACACCATCCTTACCATTTCCCAAAACTGCTCTCGGATATAAGTGGGCTTAGACATGTCTGGGGCGTAGACCCCTAACACAAACAACTTCTTTAAGCCCACTTTCATTGGTATCCATAGCAGTCTTGGGTTTACACATTCATACTCTTTCACACATTGGCCCATTCTTTCTGAAAGGATACCTACTCCCTGGCATACCCGCTCGATCTCGTCTACACCAGACCAGTATGCGGTATACATGCCATGTGTAGTGACATCCTTCCCCTTCCTTTTCGTCTCATTTACACATAACACATCTATTCCTCTATCATACATCATATCGCATACTTCATCCATTTTATCATTCATTGCCCCACATACATTCAACGTAGCCAGACGGGCATCTGCAATCCACTTTTCGCCTCTACTAATAGGGTATTGTTCCCTTCTTATAAGTTTCGGTATTTACCGTTTGCTTTTTGTTCAAAGAGGCAGTAGCAGAGTTCAATTCCTGGCGGTTATTACCTGAATGTACATTTTTACAGGACTTAAAGTAGAAAGGAATTGTGCCCTTCTTTGGAATAATTTTGCATTCTGTTTTAGCCTTTTTCATAAATAATAACATATTTTTGGCACATAAAAAATTATTTTTATAATAGTTTGATGAGCAATTTTTAAAGTTGTTACATATAACTTTTAAATTGTTATTTAACATATTTTCATTTAAATATCTGTTCTGTAAAACTAATATTTTAGTTTTTTGAAAGTATTTGAGCATTGTTACTAATTCAATTATTATTTTGTTAGGGTTAGTATCATTTTCTCCTATACATATTATTAGATAATTATCTTCCGAATCGTCCAGTTTATAAATAGGTTTAAGAATTTCCTCCGTAGTGGCATATGGTTTTGTAGTTGAAAATATCTGGTAATTTTTGTACTGAGTATTATTTCTTGATTGTATAAGTAGTGTAGCCAACCCTGTGAATTGTTGTCCTCCGAATATAATTAATTGGGATTTTGGCTTGTTTTCAATAGTTTTAGAAAGTTACTGATTACTGTTTACTTTGTTTTCTTTATGCAGATTTAATAAAGCGCCATCTGTTGTGTATTGATCGCACTTTTTAAAATTAAGTTTGTGCACTTGTGATGACAGGCTACCTATGGTATTAGAAGTAGCTAATTCAGTTGTGTTTCCTTCACAAGATTTTGTCTCAAGATCAGTGAAAGTCATATCCAGTTTCTTTCCCTCAATTATATAAAGATTTTTAACCTTACAGCTTTGTTTTTTTATAGTTGAACTTTTTTTGTACTACTTGGTGTTACGCTACAATTTTTTTTAATTTTTTTATGGTATTTTGTTGTTCAGCTGTTTGTTTCTTTAAAGTGATGTTTTCCATGGTTAAGTTATCTATTTCGTTGTTAGCCGTATTTAATTGCATTCTCAATCGTTCAATTTCCTCGTTGAGTCTTTCAAATTCTTCGTAACTTAGACCGGTTGACAATTGTGGTAGGCTTTTCGAAAGATATTCGGAATTTGTTGACTCAAACGAAGAATTTGGCGAATTAATTATTGTTTTATTTTTTCTTAAAATAATTTTTTCAAAATCCATGTCCGGTTTTTTATCTTTTTAACAGTTCTATAAAAAAGCTGGTTCATGTCAAGAACGCTAAACATTAATAGCTAATCGAGCTATAAACAATTGGTCGAATATAAGGATCTTGTTCAGCTTGTGTGAAATTTGAACCCAACAAATTCGTTATGGTGACTCATTGATAAAATATTTTTGCACTAATTTTCACAACACTCAATATTTTAGTCTACTACACTAAATAAGTCGTAGTTACACAGTTTCTTATGATTACTTCACTGACACTATAGTATTTTTCTCTTTTAAAGTTTTATTGATTGTAAAAAACGTAGTTTACTGACTGGATGTTATTGAAATTTTATTTTGAGTTTTATGTAATTATTTGTGAGATTTATCACTGCATAACACTTTCACTTATACTTTATAAATTGAGCAACAATATTTGTAACTTAATAGTTTTAAAAACAGCGATATTTATTTTTAAAGATTTTTTGAACACAGACCCGATGTTACCGTGACAGCTAGCGCCATCTAACACATTACACATTTGGCATATTATGTCAATTTTAGTTCCCAAGACGACCTATCCCGTCCAGCGTACTTGTGTATATAGAGGTCAGTGGTTGTAACCAAATTATTTACCTTCAAATTTCTGCAATTACAGTGCAATTTTTTACTAAATGAGTGGTACATGTGGAATTTTTTTTAGAATAAGGGTGACTAATGAGCACACAGTCCCATAATCGTCTTCTTCTATCTTCGGTTAAGAATCAAACTGCAGATGTGTTGTCATCCCTGAGAACTAAGATAGAATGCTTCGTTTCCTGTAACATATATAGTTTCCCTGTTCTTTACACTCACCATAACACAGCAGCATTGCGACAACGTGGTCCTTTCAGCCGACCCATTCGTTCTACGACTATAATATAGCTACAGTGTGACTGTACCACGTGCAAAAATAATTGTTGGTGTACGTTTGAACGTGGTGTGGTACGTGTGCAGAGCACTTCGGGCTGCCGGTGGCGGTGGGGGCGGTGCCGGCACTGGGCGGTGTGAGCTGGGCGTGGACGTGGGCGTGGGGCGTGCTAGGGCTGTGCGCGCTGGGCGCGGTGGGCTCGCTGTGCGCGCTGCTGGCCAGCCGCGCGCGCGTGCAGGCCAAGCTGCGCAGCTCCGTGCGGGCCGCCTGGCTGCACTCGTACGTACCCAGCTGTACCCAGCTCCCACATCACACGTAGTGGGGCTGCGGGCTCGCTGTGCGCGCTGCTGGCCTCTGTTTTGTTCCCAAAAAGTTAAAATAATTGTTATTCTGTTATTTTAAATTTGTCAACCCATATCGTCCCGTGGCTATCGTAGAAGGCGACAAAGGAAAACAAATCAGGTCAAGATGGGCAGCAGCGTCTTTCTTATAACGACTAAAAATAAAAGTTCACCAAACTTTTATTTTGTGTCAAAACATGTCTCAATTATTATATTCCACTTATTGTATCTGTATAGTTCCACCACACATTTTTATTTAGCAAACGATGCAAACTGCTTTCAGCCGCGCGTCACGCGTATTTAATTTGACTTATATTATTGCAATCTTACAACCGGCAGTACGTCAACAACCGTCCTACTAAACACCGACTACTCAAGTAAAGATTTGCCACAATAACATTATAACTATTTTACTTTTTAATAAACCTTAAAACTTTGGTGATCTTTTCCATTTGACGTGCTCGTCAACTAACTACAATTCTACTTCTTTGTTGTATTTGATTTTTCTAGTTATTTATATTATTAGGTTATAATAATAATTTGATATGTTCATTGAAACGCGAAATTAGTTAATTCATTCATTCGCTTAACTTGTCCAGAGAGAGAGAGAGAGAGAGAGTGTTGCCCACACCACCTTTGTAAAATTTCCCATTATGTGTTACCACACTCTTGAAAGTGTATGGCCCTACAAACCATACAATATCCCACTTAATATATTATGTGTGTATGTATATATATTAGAGTTACAACCTAGGACCACGATCATTCTACTTCAAGTTTAGTCACTATTTTTCCTAACTTACAAAACTAAAAAGCAAAATTGGTTATTATAATTATTATTATAAGGTAAGGTAAGGTAATTCGAATTTCATTTGATTGATGTTTAAATATTAAAAAAAAATAAAAACAATAGTCAAAATATAACAATGAACAATATAAAACAATATTTACACGTGTTGGATCAAAAAGCGCATCCTAAATCTCGGATAGAAAGTAACTAATCATTCCACGACTCAGGCGTTACCAAAGAATACTATGATACACAATAGAATGGCTGTCAACCTTATTTTGTACAAGCAATTACTTCGTATTATCACTACTAAAAACCCGATTCGCTGTATTGACAGACTGAGTAAATTTACACATTTTAGACTTTTGATTAATGTTCAAGATCATCATTAAAATAATCGTTTAAATTTTAATACATATTTATTTGTAAATAGTGTGCAATTTGGTATTTTCTAAATAATTTTCATGCAAAACTTGGAAACGATTGTAACGTCAAAACGAGAGCTGTTGACATTTATGTGTGTGAATTGACATGTTTATGAGTGAAATTTTAGTGGCTACATGAGCTTCACCCACTCCCCCGTTCTATTACGTACGTATTACAGCATTCTATGGGCGTTACTATGCGACAGTACACATCTCACGACGGATCGTCGTCGGTTGCGTTCACAAAAATGAATTTGATTTTTTTGAAGTTACCCGTACTATCATATACCATCGGGTGTAAAGGGATATGTGTATATATGGCACGAGTTGTCGCCTCTGTTTGATATTCATCATTCATCATTACAGCCCTTCACAAGTCCACTGCTGAACATAGACCTCCCCCAAGTAACGCCACAAAGCACGGTCCTGAGCCACCTGCATCCATCGACTTCCTGCATGTCTTACCAGGTCGTCACTCCATCTAGTGGGGGGTCGCCCTACACTACGCCTACCGGTACGAGGCTGCCACTCGAGAACCTTTCTTCCCCATCGGTTATCGGTTCTTCGAGCTATATGGCCGGCCCATTGTCATTCAGCTTACTAATCCGTTGGGCTATGTCGGTCACTCTGGTTTTACTGCGGATATCATCATTTCTGAGTCTATCACGCAGAGAAACTCCGAGCATAGCCCTCTCCATAGCTCGCTGAGCAACCTTGAGCGTCCTCATACGGCCAGCGGTGAAGGACCACGTCTCTGATCCGTAAGTCATCACTGGCAACACGCACTGGTTGTACACTTTAGTTTTCAGAGATTGAGGTATACCTGACGTGAAGATGTGTCGTAATTTCCCGAACGCTGCCGAGCCGAGCCGAGCCGGAGCCAATCCGTCGATTGACCTCTCGGTCGAAGTTGGACTTACCTAGTCGGACTATTTGTCCGAGGTAAACGTACTTGTTAACAACTTCGAGCATAGTGCTCCCAACAACTACCGGCATAGGTGTGACATGGACATTAAACATGATCTTTGTTTTGTCCATGTTCAACTTAAGACCTATCCGTTGGGAGACACCATTGAGGTCATTGAGCATGGTTCTCCAGCGATTCTGCCATAAGGACTATAACGTCGGCAAAAGGTGAGTGATGTACTCGCCATTGATGTTAATACCTTATCCTTTCCAGTCCAGTAGCTTGAAAACGTCTTCCAACGCAGCGGTGAAGAGTTTCGGGGATATAACGTCACCCTGTCTTCCTCTGCAGTTGAATACGCTTCGAACTCTGGTTCTGTACTCGGATAGCCATCGTAGCCCTACTGTACAAACACTTCAGCACTTCGATATACCGTCAGTCAACTTGGCACCGCTGAAGGGACTGTAGCACCGCCCAAATTTCGACGGAATCAAAGGCTTTCTCATAGTCCACATACGCCAGGCAAAGTGGCAGATTGTACTCCTCGGTCCTCTGTACAATCTGCCGCAGGGTATGTATGTGGTCTATGGTACTGAAGCCTTTTCGGAAACCGGCTTGTTCGGGAGGCTGGAAGTCATCAAGTCTGCGTGCGAAACGATTCGTAATGACTCTCGAAAACAGCACGTAGACGCGGCTCAGAAGGGAAATCTTCTGAAGGACTTCAAGTACCGGTGTTCCACCCGCTTTCAGAAGCTCCGCTGTAATTCCATCCTCGCCTGGGGCCCTGCCGTTTTTAAGGTGCTGGAGAGCCATTCTAATCTCGCTCAGACTGACGTCCGGGATATCATCGGAATAGTGTCGGGTAAGACTTGCTCTTGGATCATTACTCACACTTGCGTGTGGCTCCAACGATGATGTATACAGCTGCCCATAGAACCTCTCAATCTCACTCAAAATCTCAGGTGTCTCGGAAACGATGCTGCCACACTCAAGTCTTCAGCTTTGACAGTTGGCTCTTTCTTGCAGACAGATCTCTGGCAAAGACTTTGGAGCCCTGGTTCCGCTCGATCGCTTCTTTAATACGAGCAGTATTAAAGTTGCGTAAGTCTCGCCGCATGCATTTGGAGATCTGTCTGTTCAGTTGCCTGTATGCTGTCAAATCTGTTGCGATTGCAGCCTCATCTCCCGTCTAACAGCCATGAGATTAAGAGTGTGATCGGAGAGTTTTTGTGTTCTTCTGCGGCGGGTCTTGCAGAACTTAGCTCCGACCGCATGGACAGTTGTCGTGAAGCGACAGTTAAAAACTAAAGAACCTAACCTAACAACGAAACAACCAAAAAGAAAATAATTTATTTAAAATTTGTAAAGATATTTACAGTTTCTTTTATAAAATGTAAAGCCACAATTAAAAACTATAGAACCTAACCTAACAACGAAACAACCAAAAAAGAAAATAATTTATTTAAAAAAATTGTAAAGATATTTACAGCTATTATTATTTTTTTTATAAAAAAATAGGTATGAGATGATGGGCTGTAGTGATGATAGTGAATTACAATTTTTAAAAAAAAATAAAAGTTAATAAAGATAAATGAGTACGGAAACAATGTATGTACAGGCTATGCCTGTGGTAGATGCACAGCGCCTAATCTAGGTACACGCAGCGCTTGAAGTAGGCACACACAGCGACCAGAATGAACACACACAACACCTGGAGTAGACACACACAGCGCCTGGAGTAGACACGCAGCGTCTGGAGTAGGTCCACGCAGCGTCTGGAGTAGGTACACACAGCGTATTGAGCAGGTACACGCAGCACTTAGAGTAGGCACACACACACCGCTCGGAGTAAGCACACACAACGCCCGGAGTAGACACACACAGTGCCCGGAGTAGACACACACAGCGCCCGGAGCGCCGGAGACACGCAGCGTCTGGAGTAGGAACACGCAGCGCTTGAGACAAGCACGCTCAGCGGCCGAAGATAGCGCGGGCACTAATAGGTGGAGGCGTAGGCGTGGCTAGGCGACGACTTCAGGAGAAGGCAGAGGCTTGCAAGATCCCGAGGCAGTGCGGATAAAGCCTTTAAGAGGTGCTTCTCGTATCAAAGCTGAAGTGAGAACTTCTATTGGCCGATTCTTCGGCTTTTATGCTTTTTGACGGATCTGGGATAAGAACGAGAAATTATTTGAAATTATTTAAATTAAAAGCAAATTTTTGTAAATGGCCAAGAAGAAAAGAGTATTTTTGAAGTAAAAACATCAGGCCGGTAACGATATTTGAATAAAAATTGCCATGACAACCAGATAAACAACGATGTCAAAACATGTCAAAGGAGACAATCAATTTTTGTATGGAGAATGGGCCCACCACAAATTTTCGCGTCACGCAATGAAATGGATGTCGATTTATTCCTTATAATTTATAGTTTACAAAAGTAATATTAGTTTTACCACATCTAGACGGAAAATCGAGAAATTGACAATTAAAATATGAATTTTAAAATAACCTATAAATAAACTAAAAGCTATTTATAGTGGTTTTTACCGGTATTTTAAGTTAAAATAGTGCACTGTTGAATAATAGTTCATATAAAACCAAGTTGTAGGTACATTCAGCATTTTCAGGTACTTCAATATTTTTAGTAGTTACGGCAAAATATAGTGCCTGTCTGTGTACAAATGTGGTATGGATACAATTTTTTACATATATTGATTGTGAGTGTACTTCCCAATTACCGTTAAAATAATATGAATAAATTCAAGATGACTAAGGTATAATATATCCATTTATATTTACAATATTACCAACACACG